ACCTGAGATGACATGATGTGAATTGGAGCTATAGAAATAAACTGAATAGAATTGAACATATTCTATGGAAACTTTAAACAATCCCAGCTCTGTCTTCTGTTCACAGACTTTTTTTGGAGGCAGTTTGTTTTTACTCCAAAGGATGAAGAAATACATCCAGGATAACTGGAACAAGTGTGACCTCACAGCTATTCTTCTTTTTATTTTGGCTCTACTGTGCAGGTGATTGTCTTTGATTCATCTTTTTTCTAATATAATCCTTTACAATCTGAATAGTTCTATAGTTATAATGTAACTCCATTCATTTATGGTTGCAAAGTTTCCACTGCTTCCCTCATTGATTTATCTAAACTATTAGTGAGTGATATTGCTGCTAAAGAGATGCTGCAAATCAAACTATAAAGCCGTTTATTTAAGTTTTATGTCAGTTTCAGGTTGTTCAGTTACCATCAGGGACTGGAACCATTATGGGTGGTTTAGAGGTTAGGGAGCAAATCATTTGCTTTTCTGGAGCAAATATAGTTTGTTTCTGACCCTTAAACAAAAAATTGTTGATGATAAATTTGCCCACTAATGGAAGATAGGCTCTAAATTAAAAATATATGTATTTTTAGCTAAGAGGTTCATGATTTGTTGTTCTTCTCTAAGTCGCTACTTTTATTTTAAATTACAATAACATAGAATTCAAAGTTCTACAAACTGAAATCATTAAGTTAAAGTACTGAAGTTAAAAATACTGCTGCCAGTTATTTTATGTGTTGCTCTCTCTCACTTTGTTGAAGCTTTAATGTGAATAAATAAATTAAAATACAGGGAAGAGACATGTCCTAAACTGGAACCTTCAGAGTCTTACTGGTTGTAATGGTTTGTGCTGTTGAGTCCTGGTATTGTTGTTATTTTCTTTAGGTTCACTTTAAACTTTCTGGAAGACTTTAAGTTACTTGACTCTGAATTGATGCAGTTTGTACCCAACTGGGAAGAACTGGCCATCTTATGGACTTTGTTCCAAACTGTCCAAATTATTAGATATCATCAGCTTTTGTTGGTCTTCCAGGTGAGTGCATTACCTTCAAAATGTGAGCAGTAACTGATTGCTTTTTGTTTCAGAATATTTCCCTGGTCATTTAATTTTGGCCGTGCTGTGATGGCCATTGACTACATGGTTTTTGCCCTGCGTCTAATCCACATCTTTGCCATCCACAAACAGCTTGGACCCAAAATCATCATTCTTGGAAAAATGGTAACAGAACTGATCAAAAACAACTGGTATAAAACACAGTTTAACTGGAGACATAAATAGTATTAGAGTTGAGAAAAGGTGCCAGGGTTTAGAGCAGTCAATCAGAATGCCTGATGTTTCTGAAGAACTCTGAACGATAGGGATCGTTTTAAAAATCTGAGCTGCTGGCGAATCTCCGGACTGAAGAGTTGTCTGTAGCAAGGCAGTAACTGTCAGGCATGGTGGGGAAGGAGTAATGGTGTGGGCATCTTTTGCGATAATTTGTGATAATCGCATTGATTTATGTTGCCTTACAGAAACCTGGCTGCAGCAAGAGGATTATGTGAGCATAAATGAGTTAACTCCTTCTAGCTA